GGAGAGGCGAAAGGCGAGCGAGAGAGGAGGCGAGGGGAGGCGAAAGGCGAGGGAGAGAGGAGGCGAGAGGCGGGAGGCGAGCGAGCGAGGAGCGAGCGAGCGAGCGAGCGAGCGAGCGAGCGAGCGAGCGAGCGAGCGAGCGAGCGAGCGAGCGAGCGAGCGAGCGAGCGAGCGAGCGAGCGAGCGAGCGAGCGAGGAGCGAGCGAGCGAGCGAGCGAGCGAGCGAGCGAGCGAGCGAGCGAGGCGAGCGAGCGAGCGAGCGAGCGAGCGAGCGAGCGAGCGAGCGAGCGAGCGAGCGAGCGAGCGAGCGAGCGAGCGAGCGCGAGCGAGCGAGAGAGCGAGCGAGCGAGCGAGCGAGCGAGCGAGCGAGCGAGCGAGCAGCGAGCGAGCGAGCGAGGAGCGAGCGAGAGCGAGCGAGCGAGCGAGCGAGAGCGAGCGAGCGAGCGAGCGAGCGAGCGAGCGAGCGAGCGAGCGAGCGAGCGAGCGAGCGAGCGAGCGAGCGAGCGAGCGAGCGAGCGAGCGAGCGAGCGAGCGAGCGAGCGAGCGAGAGAGCGAGCGAGCGAGCGAGCGAGAGCGAGCGAGCGAGCGAGCGAGCGAGCGAGCGAGCGAGCGAGCGAGCGAGCGAGCGAGCGAGAGAGCGAGCGAGCGAGCGAGCGAGCGAGCGAGCGAGCGAGCGAGCGAGCGAGCGAGCGAGCGAGCGAGCGAGCGAGCGAGCGAGCGAGCGAGCGAGCGAGCGAGCGAGCGAGCGAGCGAGCGAGCGAGCGAGCGACGAGCGAGCGAGCGAGCGAGCGAGCGAGCATCTAGCTATCTATCTATCTATCGACTACTACTACTATCTATCTATCTATCTATCTATCTATCTATCGACTATCTCCTATCTATCTATCTATCTATCTATCTATCTATCTACTATCTATCTATCTATCTATCTATCTACTATCTATCTATCTGTCTCTCAGTCTGCCTGTCTGTCTATCTGTCTGTCTGTCTGTCTGCCGTCTATCCGTCCGTTTGTCTGTTTGTCCGTCTATCCGTCCGTTTGTCTGTCTGTCCGTCTGTCCCTCCGTCCGTCTGTCTCTGTGTGTCCCTCTAAAATTTGTTCGGTTTTCAGGATAATTGATGCAATTTGACACGCGGTGAAATCCTTACTCCAAATTTTAAGTGGATATAAAGCATATTTCCTCCTATCAAACTAACTTTAACTAATCTAATGCCCGCCAAATATTCTGTATGGTTTATTACTAAATTATTAAATTAATAATGATATCGTATAAAAAGTTTTATTAGTCAATTAGGAAATAAAGATAATGAAATCCATTAAGCAACTAAGTAAGGAATATCGAAATAATTATATATCTAAAAAATATCCATTAAATGAAATTATTATAAAAATGAATATGTATAGAAACTGCATTTCTCTACATATTATGGGGGCAATGTATGTCATTCAACAATTATGACTAACAATTCAAAAATATCCCACTTTTTAACTACCCCCTTAAACTGCTTAAACTGATGCAGAGGATGATTTCATTTGACTATATATTCTTTGTAGGAGGAATTTTATTACTTGCAACAATTTCTACCCAGTCATTTGACTTTTCAGAGAAAAATTTTTTCACACATAATATCTCAACAACAAACACATGTGTTAAACTCTACGAAAAATATGCTAACGAATAGAAACGATTTAAAACGATTTAAAAAGCACACGCCTGAAATGCTCTCGCAAAAGATCGTTGAAAAATAAATGAGCTACAAGAGGAATTGTAGAAAAATTTTGTGGCATTCTTCGCTCGCACCTCAAAAACGATCGACGTCTTGGTTTCAGTCTCGGGGATTATGACTTGAACCAATTCTTATTGAAATAATATATATAGAAAATATTATATATATAGAAAGAATTATATTGAAGAAAAAAAAGAAGAAATTTAAAGTATACATAGAGTTATTTTTATACTAAAGTGAAAGAAGAAAATTAAAGTTTTTGAAAAAAAGGAAATAATTTTTTTTTATGAAAATATATATTTTACAACGAAAAGTGAGTGTTTTTTTGGTAAAAGGATAAAATAAAGAAATTTGAAAATTTTCAAAAGAAAATTGATTTCGTAACAAGTAAAGAAAAGAAGAACAAAATTTTCTTGCTGAAAATCTATAAAAAGAATTTTCTTTTTTTTTTTTTGACTGCGAAATAAAAACGATCAAACGTTAACGAAACGGAACGGTTAAGCGGTTAACGGTTAACGGTAATAAAATAACGGTTATAAGCTAAAGAAAATAAATGAAAATAAATTGTTTATATAAAAGGATTTTTTTATTATCCTTGTTTAATGAATGCTAAAACCAGGATTAAGCATAATTTAACAAGGCTAATAGGAATCAGAAATATATAATCATAAAGCGATCAAAATATTTTTTTTTTTTTTTTTTTTTTTTTTTGAAATAAAATTTTAATAAAATGAGTGATTCAGTGGATTAATCATAGGAAAAAGAAGAAAATTTTTGTATAATATATATTATTGATATATATATAACGACAACATAAAACTGAACATATCTAACATTAAAGTGGAAAGAAAATTTATACAAATACATTTAAACAAAAAATTCAATTTCTATATAGAAAAACGAAAAAAAGAAACACAAGAATAAGAGAAACGAAAAAAAAAGATTTCAAATAAATTAAAAATAGATTTTGAAAATTAAGAAGCCACCACCAACCTACCAACCAAGTGGTGAATGGTGACTGGTGTTAGTGCGGTGAATAAAAGAAGAAAATTTTTGCGCGCAAAAGAGATAGAAAATGCCTAAGACTCTTATGGAATAAACAAGGATAGCAGACAATTTAATACAATATTAAAACATTTTTATAAAAATAGAAAGAAAAGCTACATATAGTGGAGGAAAAATTTAAAAAAAAAATTTCAAAATCATAAAAAGTTTTTTTTCTACTACTTAATAAGCTATTTCATTTATAATTAATATAAAAAGACAAGAGTGTGTGTTAAAAAAATCAAGTGTGTGTGTGTTCTATATACAAGAAAAAAATCTAGAAAATTCCTTTATAAAAAAAAATTCTTAAAATATTTTCTATATTTCCTTTTTTCCCTTTTTTTTCATTTCCTAGCCCATTTAACGAAGTTTTTATATCTTTAATCAAAGAGAAAAAAGTATTTAGAAAAAAAAGCTAAATTTAAAAAAATAAAATATTTAATTTAAAAAAAAAACAACAACAAAAAGTCATAAAAGCAGCTTTAAAAGTGCAACATATAAAACACACGCCTTTTAGCGTGTTTGTTTTTGAATTTTGTTTTGTTATTTTTTATGTGTTATATAACGAATTAAAATAAAGAAAAATATGCAACGACAAAATCCGAATCCACAACAACAACAAATGTACCAGCAGCAACAACAACAACAACAGCTGCAACAACATCATGAACAACAATTCATGCATCAACAGCATCAAGAAATGCATCAACAACAAACCATAAGCCGCAGTGAACATCATCATGTTCAAAGGAGTCAAGTAACCACCCAACAAAGAGGTCAGTTATCTGCTCACGAAATCATTCCACAAACATTCTCTCAGCAATCATTAAATCTTTGATCCTTAATATTGTTGCTTTGCTCTCCGTTATTATTTCCTGTTTACTCTTTTGTGATTTTTTTTCTCATTTCCTGTGTGTTAGTAAACCGGAAATGCTTATGAAAAGGATTTGAATTTGATTTTTTTTCTTCTTTATTTCTTTTCATTGACCCAATTAAATTGAGGTTAAATATAATGTAAACTATAAAATAAATTATGACTAATATAGCAGATACATCATGGATAGATAAATAATAATATTTTGATGAGAAAATCGAGAAAATTATGAAAAATTTTAAAACAAACAAAAATTTAAACCAATTATAACAAATTGTTTTTGTTTTTCAATAGAAATTTGAAATAATTTTTTTTTTTAATTTTTTAAAATTAACAAAAAAAAAATTTTTTGTGATCGAACAGACCTATTATTTGTTTTTTTTATTGTAAAAAAAAAAATTTATAAAAAAATTTATTAAAAATAAATTTAAAATTATTAAAAAATTAAAATATTTTTAAAATTTTTTTTGGAAAAAATAATTTTAAAGTTTATTACAAAAACATTAAAATATATATTAAGTTTTTTGGATTTTTTCCGATCTGTGGAATAATATTATTAATTAAATATTCTACTGGCTTGAGTTCGAGTCCCACTTGGGAATAATTTTTATTCAGCTCGAGCCTGAAAAATATTCAATTAATAAATCTAAAGAATAATAAAAATTTTCATTAAAAAATTAAACTTTTTAAAAACTTAATTTTGAATTTTAAAAATTTTATTATTAAACTATTATTATTTAATTAAAAATTCTTTTTATTAATAAATCAAAATTTTTAATTTAATTTATTAAAAATTTAAAAAAATAGTTAAAAAAAGATTTTTTTAAATTTTCTCATAATGAATTGGATAAAATTTTAGTATCTGCCTTAGTATAGTTTTCCGAAAACGATTCTGTCTACATAGTCAGAGCGGAACTCATAATTAGTTTAAAACCCATTAGATTTCAAAATAAGAGCTTTTACAAATAAGCTTTATGACAAATAAAGGACTCTTTTAAATTTAGAACATTTATTCCTAATTATCATCAAATCCAATTGAATTTGTCAATGGTATTCAAAACTACTATTAGGATATAATAGGAAAGTTTAAAAGAAGAAGAAGAAGAGACCAATCGAACTAAATGATCATAAGAAATAAGAATGAAGTACTAAGCTTTTCGTTGGAAACGATCATAATTTTAACATTTAATTAAAGAAAATAGTTTTTGTTAGAGATCAAGTACCTAATTCTCAACTAGATATTCTCGATCGGGTAATATTGTTCGCGAAGTTCTTCTTTGAGATGATAGCATTCAATAAAGAACTTCTTAAAGTTAAGGGGTCCGGTCCCTATATAAACGTATTCATGATCGAGAAAAAATTTTGTTTGAGATTTAATATTAAATAAGAAATCTAGTTTATTTTTACTTAACATCAAAATCAAATTAATTTTCTATACAAAAGATCTTTTCACAATGAATTCGGGTGATATGGTCCCATCACATTTTAATTTGATTTCACGAATGAAATTTCTTTTCAATATGGAAAGTAACTCTTTAATATCAAAACTTTTAACAAAATTTAATCATAAGACAAAGATCGCCAATGATTTAGAAAGTGGTTCGGATCAGTTTTGGTGTCTATAGGTATATAAATTTAATGGAATATAAAACGGGGGGGAACATTATATATCAATCGAAATTTTTTTTATTTAAATTCGATTCGAAATTGATAAATCGGTAGTGAGATAAAAACTGCCTTCAACAACTTTACATATATATTTTAGGTCGAATACGAAAATATTGCTATAAAATCGTATAGTACGAAGGCTTTTTTACTTCAAAACTTGGATCAAAGAGATTAAAGATGCTGAAGTATAATTTACTAAAGTTTCACATCAACCTTAAACATCTATTAATCTTTAACAAAATTTGTATAAAATATGGTTACAAATTTGAAGTCTTTATTCAAAATCAATTTTTTATGGAAATTTCATTCTATAAGGGTCTTATTTATAAAATTTTTTCAAAGGTTTATAAATAAAATTTTCATACAGAATTTGTTCTATAAATCTTTGATAAATATTTATGAATAAGGCAGTAAACCTTTAGTAAGTTGTGGCTCTAATAGCTTAACAGTTAGTGTTGTAGTCTGTTAGACCGCAAATGGTGGGTTCGATTCTCACCGGAGACATAGGTAAAGGAGCTCACAATAGGTTCGATGGAGGTCTAGATGTATTTTTTTAGGATGTAACATATATCTTCTTTTCAAACTATTTACTAAAGTAGTAATAAAATAAAAAGGTGGTTATAAATATTAAGACTCGAAGGACCATAAATAATAAAAAAAACCTGTAACACTGAAATATGTACATTTATCGAATAATTACATTCGTTCTACTAAACTTACAAATTTCTAAAATATTGGAAAATTATTTAAACTTGGAAATAAAAAAATCAAAATATATTATAGTATTTCTGATTTAGAAAAATCAGTAGAATCTCTAAATTAATGGGAAAATAATTTTTAGTATTAATTTATAGTTATTTTATAGTGATTAAACCGATTAATCTATGTCCGTCTGTGTGTCTAAGAAGGTGATTAAACCGATCAAACTATGTCTGTCTGTCTGTCTGTCTGTCTGTCTGTCTGTCTGTCTGTCTGTCTGTCTGTCTGTCTGTCTGTCTGTCTGTCTGTCTGTCAGTCTGTCTGTCTGTCTGTCCGTCTGTGTGTCTGTTGAAATCAATCTTCTGCTAAAGTAATGGAAGAGTAGGAAAAATTAAATAAATTAAAATATACGATTCGACAAAGGCCCATATTTACCCCTGCCGAATCTTATTCTTTAAATCCTCAATATTTTTTTAAGAATCCACATTTAATTTACAAATTTTTAATATAATATTATATTGTTAATATGCTTTTTTATTAAATGACCCATTTTACTCCAGTAATAGAAAACCCGATTCAAATTTCATTAAAAATATTAAAAGTTTCACTAATCTTTAAAAACTAAAAATCGCTTGATATAATAAGTCTAAGACTGCAAGATATTCGAGTATTTTTCAACAATCTTATTAATTCCGTATAAATATTGGGTTCATAATCACTACAATGAAGACAAATGGAAAATCTAACAAGAAAAGTTAAAAAATCAGGGTCCAAAATCGGGCATTCGAAAGTGATAGAAATTTTTAATCTATTCAGGTTTCGAATGCCACAATTTGGCCCAGTTTTCTTATACATATATTGTTTAAGATCTATTGGAATTTATAAACCAAATTAAAATCACTTTCTCCAGCGAAATTTTAATATATTCTTCACTTATAACAGAAACAATGTATTTATTCCCCAAGAGAAAACAATTTTATCTCTATCACTAACAGATAAGATGGATTATCAAGATAATGACCTGGAAATTTTATCTATTATTTTCAAATTAACCAAAAAAAAAAAAACAAAATTGCAATCAGTCAACTTAAATTAGCAAGTTTAAAAGCAACGATCTTTAGAAAAAGAAAACAAAATCCCTCATAATTCCAAGAGTAAATATCACACAATTATACGTCAAAGCAATTGGCAAAAACAATACGAAATGCTAAACATCAAAAACGAAAAAAAGTACCAACAATATAAGTATAATAATCTTAAGGCCACTTATTAAACAGCAGTGCCAAAAACAGATTATTATCGGAAGATCTAAAGAATTGTACACAAATAAAGTACAACATTAATTTTAGTCAAGAATTTCCTCGCTGGGAATTAGAAAAAAGAAACAGAAACCAAAATACTGACATTTGCAATTACTCATACAGCGATATAAAAGAAAAACTCTTATAATGAACACAAAAACTGTTATACAGCGAAAGGAAAATCTTCGCAGATCAAGAGAGCAATTTTGAATAAAGTGCGCATGTACTTAGCTCATAGATTATTATAAACAGCTGTTTCGAAATTATCTCATACTCATATTTCTTTTTAGGAATTTTCTTAAGCAAATTCTAACTTTTATCTTTATCCAATTTTTTTTTTTGTTTACAGTGGAACAACATGGCGGCGGTTATGTACAACCAGCTTTGACACACATCTATGCTCAGGGCGACATCTCACCACCCGTATTCGAACAAATTTTCAAGAATGCCCGTTTCGCTCAAGGCGGCAATGCCTTGTTCGAAGGCAAACTTCGTGGCAATCCTAAGCCATTCGTAACATGGACCCGAAAAGGCGCACCACTTCTCGAGTCTCAAAAGTTCCGCATGAGCTATAATGAAGCCACCGGTGAGGTATCGCTGCTCATCAATCAAATTGGACCTGGCGATGAGGGTGAATACACTTGTACGGCTCGCAATCAATATGGTGAAGCCATTTGCAGTGTTTATATTCAACCAGAAGGCGCACCCATGCCTACCATCCAACCCATTCAGAAACAAATGGACAAGTCCATTTTCGCCAATGGTTATTCGTTCTCCTCCACCAAGGAAGAGTTCCGTGTGGATACCTTTGAGTATAGACTTTTGCGTGAAGTATCCTATAGAGAGGCCATTACACGTCGTTCGACTTACGAACAGGACTACTATTTATGCCAAGAATTGGATCGCTCTATGGGACCAGCTCATGCCCCACAAATTGCCCAGAAACCTCGCAACTCTAAACTGATTGAGGGTTCTGATGCTGTGTTCGCCGCAAAGGTTGGCTCCAATCCCAAGCCACGTTTGACTTGGTTCCACAATGGACAACGTTTGGTTCAATCCAATAAGTATGACATCTCATACTCGAGCGGTACAGCCACTTTGCGTGTTAAGAAAGCCAACATCAACGATGCTGGTCATTATACTTTGCTGGCAGAGAACACCCAAGGTTGTGTTGTGTCTTCTGCTGTGTTGGCCGTTGAGCCTGCTGCTGAGTCGGCCCATGAACCAAAACCTGTTGATGCTACGGCAGAACAGTTGGAAGCGGGCAAGGCTTTGCCACCCACTTTCGTTAAGTCCTACGGTGATCGCGAAATCACCGAAGGTCGTATGACTCGTTTCGATTGCCGTGTTACTGGCAATCCTTATCCTGAGGTATACTGGTTCATCAACGGTCGCCAGGTCAACGATGATGCCGCTCACAAGATTCTTGTCAACGAATCCGGTAGCCACTCGCTCATGATTACCAATGTCACTCGCTTGGATGCCGGCGCTGTCCAATGTTTGGCTCGCAACAAGGCCGGTGAGGTTGCCATCGAGGCCCAGTTAAATGTGCTCGAGAAGGAACAAGTTGTCGCACCACAATTTGTTCAACGCTTCAGCACTATGACTGTGCGCGAGGGTGAACCTATTACCATGAGCGCCAATGCCATAGGTACTCCTATGCCTCGTATTACCTGGCAAAAGGATGGTCAGCAAATTTCATCAACCGCTGAACGTTTTATTGGCATTGATGGTGGAGCTACCTGTTTGGAGATTCCACGTGTTAAAGCTTCCGATGCTGGCTGGTACCAATGTACTGCACAAAATATTGCCGGTTCTACAGCCAACCGTGCTAGACTCTATGTAGAAGTTCCCAGAGAACAACCACCCGTCGAACAGAGACGTCTTAATTTACCAAGACCCACGAAGATTATCGAACCAGAGTAAGTATTTGTTAAAAATCAAACAAACGAATAGTTTTCTATGTTATAAACTCCTTTACAGGCCCCAACCTGGTCCAGAAATTATTTATTTGCGTCATGTTGAACGCGCTAAGCCTCATTTACGTCCTGGTGAGGAAGACCGTGTCTACCCACCGCCACAGTTCATTATACCACTACAAAATGTGCAACAAGTTGAAGGTGGCAAAGTTCATATGGAGGCCCGTATTGAACCTGTTGGCGACCCCACCATGGTCGTAGAATGGTTCCTTAATGGTCATCCTTTGGCAGCTAGTAAGTCTTATACAACTTTATAATCTTTTTAACAGAGAACTTAACTTACGTTTTCTTTTATTAAAGGCTCTCGTGCTACCTCCGTATTCAAGTTCGGTTTCATTGCTCTCGATTTGTTGAGCATTATGACCCACGATTCTGGTGAATACATGTGCCGCGTTACCAACGCTGCCGGTATGGCAGAATCTCGTGCCATACTCTCCGTTACCCAACGCCCTTCAATTGAGCAAACTTCTCAACATCCCAGCAGCTTGCAATACATCAATCAATTGGAGGATTATTCACGTTATCAACGTCAAGAAAGTTCCGAGGAACTTATGAATCAACCCCCTGTCTTCATTCGCCCTCTTAAGGATTTGGGTGAATTCGAAGAAGGTAAAAATGTTCACTTTGAGGCTCAAGTTACTCCAGTCAACGACCCCACCATGCGTGTAGAGTGGTACAAGGATGGTCGTCCTATTACTGCCAGTTCACGCATTACAGCTATTTTCAACTTTGGCTATGTCTCTTTGAATATTTTGCATTTGCGTGCCGAAGATGCTGGCACATACACTGTACGCGCTGTCAACCGCATGGGTGAAGCCATTAGCTCATCTACCATTCGCGTACATATCAGATCTCAAGTTACCGCTGATTTGGGTATTCCTGAGCAACAGCGTTACATCGAAAAGGTAGAAGAATTGGAAGGCTATAGACAGTCTCAACAACGTCGCCATGCTCAGGAGGCACCCGAACCAATTGCTCCACCTCAATTCAAAACTCAAATTCAAAATCAAGTGGATATGCGTGAAGGTGGACATGCCCACTTCGAGGCTCGTTTGGAACCTACCGGTGATTCTACTATGCGTGTAGAATGGTTCAAGGATGGCCAACCTTTGGAAGCCAGTTCTCGCAGCACCACCTTCTTTAACTTTGGTTATGTTGCTCTTACCATTAAGCAACTTACCATTTACGATGCTGGCACTTACACTTGCCGTGCCTACAATGCCATGGGTCAAGATATTACCCAAGCCCAATTGACCGTCATCTCTAAGAAGGAAATCGTTTCCGAATCTCAACATCCCGGTGGTTTGGAGAAGATCCAACATTTGGAAGACTCTTCCCGCTACGGCCGCACTGAGGAAGAAGAGACTAAGATCACTCAAATTCCTCGTTTCTTGGGTCCCATGAAGGGTACCAATAAGATTATCGAGGGACAAAAGGCCCATTTCGAAGCTCGTGTTGAGCCTCAAAGTGACTTGAGCATGAAAATCGAATGGTATCATAATGGTCGCGCCATTACTGCTGCCAACCGTATTCAAATGTACTATGACTTCGGTTATGTTGCCTTGGACATTTCTCAAGTACGTGCTGAGGATGCTGGTGTTTATACCGTTGTTGCCAGAAACAAGTTAGGTGAAGCTCAATTGCAAGGAACGATGATAGTCGAAAGTAAGTATTATATTTCATTCGAAATACTACAGTCTAACTGATATTATTCTAATTCCCCTTACAGCTCGTTCCAGTATTGACACATCTAGCATGCACCGTGGTTTGTATGAAAAAACTCAACACTTGGAAAACAAGCAATTCGTTGAGCCTCACTATGATATCGAAGAAATTTCGAAATCTAAACCCATCTTTGTTCAACCACTGTCTGACCCCAAACCCATCCATGAGGGTAAGAACATCCATTTGGAATGCCGTTTGGAACCTATGGGTGATCCCACTATGCGTGTTGAGTGGTTCCAGAATGGTCGTCCCATAACTGTAGGATCTCGCTTCCGCACTTACTATGATTTCGGCTTTGTAGCTTTGGACATTATTCAAGCTACATCTGCTGATTCTGGTGAATATACTTGCCGTGCCACCAACCACTTGGGTTCAGCTCACACTTCATCGTGTGTTCGTGTTATTGATCGTTCTGATATTGTTACCGAAACTCAGAATGAAATGTCTTTGGAGCAAATTCAAATGTTGGAAGATGCCTCTCGCCGCCGTCATCATATGGAGGAGGAAATCACCGTCATGCAAGCTCCTCAATTCACCAGAGCTTTGCACAACATTGAAACCATGGAAGGTACCAATGTTCATTTGGAATGCCGCTTGCAACCTGTTGGTGATCCCAGCATGCGTGTTGAATGGTTCGTGAATGGCAAGCCCGTCAAGACTGGTCACCGTTTCCGTCCAGCTTATGAATTCGACTATGTAGCCCTTGATCTTTTGGGTTGTTATGCTGCTGACTCTGGCGTTTATACCTGTCAAGCCACAAATCAATTGGGCGAAGCTGTTACCTCTTGCTCCGTACGCATTATTGCCAAGAATGATTTGATTTTGGAAACTCAAAATGAGTCTGGTTTGCAAAAGATTGCTTACTTGGAAGACTCTTCCCGCTATCGCCGTAGCGAATTTGTCGACGAAGAAGTAGTAAACATTCGTCCTCGTTTCCTTACCCAACCCAAGAGTCTTAATAACATGCGTGAAGGTGGTCATGCTCACTTTGAATGCAAGATTGAGCCTGTTACCGATCCCAATCTTAAGGTTGAATGGTACAAGAATGGCCGTCCCATCACTGTGGGTCACCGTTTCCGTCCCATCCATGACTTTGGATATGTAGCCTTGGATATTGTTGATCTTATTGCCGAGGATTCTGGTGTTTACACTTGCCGTGCTGTCAACTTGATCGGTTCTGATGAAACTCAAGTGCAATTGCAATGCCGCAGCTCGGAACAAATTGTGACTGTTACACAAAATGAAGCTGGTTTGGAACAAATCCATTACTTGGAAGATCGTTCCCGGTACACTCGCCGTGAAGAAGTCGATGAGTCCACTAAACAAACTCCTGTCTTCACTACTTCCTTGAAGAATGTTGAAATCAAGGAAAATCAACGTGCCCACTTTGAGTGCCGTTTGATTCCAGTTTCGGATCCTACTATGCGTGTTGAATGGTATCACAACAACATGCCCTTGAAGTCCGGTTCTCGTTTCACCGAAACCAACAACTTTGGCTTTGTAGCTTTGGACATTATGTCCTGCTTGCCTGAAGATGCCGGTACTTACACTTGCCGTGCCTATAATGCTGTAGGTGAAGCCATCACCTCTGCTGTGGCTGTTGTTCACACCAAGAAGTCCATCTACTTGGAATCCCAACACGAAAGTGCTTTGCCTCGTTTGCAACATTTGGAAGATAGCAACAAACGTCAACGCATGAGTGCCCAGGAGGAAATTATTTCTCAAGCTCCAGTTTTCACTCTTCCTGTACGTGATTCCCGTGTTGCTGAGGGTCAAGCTGTACACTTTGAAGCCCGTTTGATTCCTGTTGGTGATCCTCACTTGAAGGTTGAGTGGTTGCGCAATGGTCAACCCATTGAAGCCTCCAATCGTATTACCACCATGCACGATTTCGGTTACGTTGCCCTCAACATGAAGTATGTTAACCCAGAAGATTCTGGTACTTATACATGCCGTGCTACCAATGAACTGGGTCAAGCTGTCACCTCTGCTTCATTGATTGTTCAATCTAAGACTTCCATCCAAATGGAAACTCAACATGAAGCTGCCATGCACAAGATCCATCAACTTGAAGATCATACTCGTTACCAACGCCGTGAAGAAGAGGAATATGTTGTAACTCAAGCTCCTCGCTTCGTTACCAAACTTATTGGCCCCAGCAATTTGGTTGAGGGACAAAGCGCTCACTACGAATGCCGTATTGAACCTTACCCTGATCCAAATCTTAAAGTTGAATGGTTGCACAATGGCAAGCCATTAAATACCGGTCACCGTTTCCGTACCACTTACGATTTCGGTTTCTCCGCTTTGGATATCTTAACAGTTTACGCTGAAGATAGCGGTGAATATACCTGCCGCGTTACCAACAACTTGGGTGAAGCTGTTAACTCCATTCGCTTGAATGTACAATCCAGATCATCCATCATTCAGGAGACTCAACATGAAGAAGCCTTGCAAAAGATTCAATACTTGGAAGATGAGTCTCGCTTCCAACGCAAGGTTGAAGAAGATCAATATATGACTGAACGTCCTCAATTTGGACGTCCTTTGCGTAATGCTAATACCAATGAAGGCAAGCCCGTACATTTGGAAGCCACTCTTACACCTGTAAACGATCCTACCATGAAGGTTGAGTGGTATTGCAATGGCATCCCAATCCAAACTGGCCATCGTTTCAAGACCACCTATGACTTTGGCTTTGTTGCCTTAGACATCTTGTATGCCCATGCTGAAGATACAGGAACCTACATGTGCAAGGCCAAGAATGCCGTAGGGGAAGCTGTCACGACTTGTGCTGTAAACGTAACAGGTAATTTTTTAACATACAAAAAAATTATAAATCATGAACAATTATTAACATTTTATTATAAACTTCTTACAGCAAATAAGACATTGGATCTCGACACTCTTGATGCCGAGCGTTTGGAAAAGATTCGTCAATTGGAAAGCTATGCTGCACCCAAGAAGGTCGAAGTTGAAGAGAAGGGTCAAAAGCCCATCTTCTTAACTCCTCTTAGCAATTTGGAACATCTCAAGGAAGGCGAACACGCTCATTTGGAGTGCCGTGTCGAACCAATTAATGACCCTAATTTGAAGATTGAATGGTTCTGCAATGGTAAACAATTGCCTTTGGGCCATCGTTACAGAACAACACATGATTTCGGTTATGTTGCCTTGGACATTCTCTACGTCTATGGCGAGGATACTGGTACTTACATGTGCAAGGCTACCAATTTGCTCGGCGAAGCTGTCAACACCTGCAATGTTCGTGTTTTGAACCGCCGCAGCATGATTTTGGATACTCAACATCCTGATGCTTTGGAAAAGATTCAAAAACTCGAATCCAAGGTAGTTACAACACGTACTGAGGTTAGCGATCAACCCATTAGCCCACCACATTTCACCGCTGAATTGCGTGGTACCACCGAAATCTACGAGGGACAAACCGCTCACTTTGAAGCTCAAGTACAACCTGTACATGATCCTAATTTGCGCATTGAATTCTATCACAACGGAAAACCTTTGCCATCAGCTTCTCGTTTCCATATCACATTTGACTTCGGCTATGTCGCTTTGGATATTACCCATGCCGTAGCTGAAGATGCTGGTGAATATTCCGTTCGTGCCGTTAACGCTTTGGGTCAATGCGTATCATCGACCAATTTACGTGTTATTGCTCGTGGTACTATCATCTCCGAAACACAACATCCTGAAGGTTTGGAAAAGATTCGTAAATTGGAATCGACCGCTCCATTCCAACGTCCTGAATTGGAAACACCTGGTACTAGACAACGTCCCGTATTTACTCAACCCTTACAAAACATTGACCGCATTAATGAACATCAAACTGCTCACTTCGAGTGCCGTTTGATTCCAGTTGGTGATCCCAATCTTAAGGTCGAATGGTACCGTAACGAAAAGGTCATTGAAGACAGTTCTCGTATTACCAAACAACACGATTTCGGCTTTGTTTCTTTGGACATTTCTCACATTCGCAAGGAAGACGAAGGTGTTTACATGTGCCGTGCCGTCAATCCTCTTGGCGAGGCTGTTACCACTGCCTCTATGCGCGTTGTTTCTGAAGCTAGTATCCAAATGGATACTCAACATCCCGACAGTATCAGCCGTATTCATCAATTGGAGCGTCCATCTGCACCTCGCCCCGTCGAACCAGAACGTGCATTTGAGAAGCCTATTTTCACTCAACTTCTTACTGGTCCCTCTGAATTGTGGGAAGGACAACATGCTCACTTTGAAGCTCGTGTTGTACCAGTTGGCGATCCATCTTTGAAATTCGAATGGTACATCAATGGCGTTGAGTTGCAGATGGGTTCTCGTTTGAGAACTACCAACGATTTTGGTTTCGTAACACTCGATATTAGCTCTGTAGTACCCGAAGATGCTGGTGTTTACATGTGCCGTGCTTACAACGCTGCCGGTGAAGCTGTATCATCTACTGCTATGAAGATTAAGACCAAATCCAACATTATCGGTGAACCAATGATTCCTGAATCTTGGGAAGCTGTCCGTCTAAAGGAAGCTTCCATGAATCGTGTTCCTGAAATGTTTGTCGATACAACACCTCAACAAGCTCCAGTCTTTACAACTCATTTGCAGAGCTTCGACAAACTCAGTGAAGGTCAACACGTACTTTTGGAAGCTCAAGTTGAACCTCGTGCTGATCCCAACTTGCGCATTGAATGGTTCAAGAATGGTATTTCACTTACCACTGGCTCTCGTATTCGCAGCACCTTTGACTTTGGTTTGGTCACTTTGTCCATCAATGGCTTGCGTGCCGACGACTCTGCCATTTACACTTGCAAGGCCACCAATCAAATGGGTGAAGCTGTTTCCACCTGCTCACTCAAGATTGAAGATCGTCATTGGTTGCAAGCTGAATCTTTGCATCCTGATTCTTTGCCTCGTATTGGAGAACTTGAAGCACCCAAACCTGGACGCCCCGAAGCTCCAGAACCAGTTTACGAAACTCCAGTATTCATTACTCACTTGAACAATATCGATTGTAAGGAAAGCGATAACGGCCGCTTCGAATGTAATGTTGAACCATCTCGTGATCCTACCATGAAAATTGAATGGTTCTACAATGGTCAACCATTGCAAGCTGCTGCCAAATTCAAGTCCATCTATGACTTTGGCTACTGTGCCTTGGATATGTCCAACCTTTATGCTGAAAACAGTGGCGTCTACACTTGCAAGGCTACCAATAGCAAGGGTTCTGCCACTACATCTGGTACACTCAAGTGCACAAGTGGTAAGATCATGTTCTTGGACACTCAACATCCTCAAGGTGAAGCTGGTTTGGAAGCTGTTAAGGAAACCGAAGAAGAATTGGCTAATCGTTACAACCGCGAAGTTGTCAAACCTGAAACTCACTATCCTCCACCAGTCTGGACTAGACCTTTGCAAGCTGAGTTCCACTTGTCCGAAGCTCAACCTCTACATTTGGAAGCTAATGTTGAACCTAAAGAAGATCCTAATCTATTCATTGAATGGTACTTCAATGGCAAATTGTTGCAACACGGTTCTCGTTTCAAGATGACAAGTGAATTTGGTTTTGTTACCATGGATCTCATCGAGGTCTATGAACGTGATCAAGGTATTTACACCTGCAAGGCCTACAACAAATCGGGTGAAGCTTTCACCACCACTACCATTTACTGCTCCAGCAAGGATAGCATCATTGAACAAACCCAACATCCTAAGGGTGCTGAAGGTCTCGAACAAATTCAAGATTTGGAAGAATCTTTGCGCAAGGACGGCAGCAAACCCGAAAAACCAGAAGAAGGTATGGCTCCTCGTTTCACTACTGAATTCGTCAACATCTCGGATGTTGGTGAGGGCGAGATTGCTCATTATGAAGCCAACCTCGTGCCCACCGGTGACCAAAGCATGGTTATTGAATGGTTCTTCAATGGCAAAGTACTTGAAGCTAGTCACCGTGTCCGCACCATCTATGCTTTCGGTATGGTTGCTTTGGAAATTTTAGGAACCAAGATCGAAGATACCGGCACCTACACTTGCCGTGCTACCAACAAATACGGTTCTGCTGAAATCAGCTGCACTCTTGAGTGTGTTGATAAGCCACGTGGCCAGAAACCTCGTTTCACCTCCCAAATTCAATCGTTGGAAGGTCTTAAGGATGGTCAATCTGCTCACTTTGAGTGTACTCTTATTCCTGTCAATGATCCTGAACTTAAGGTTGAATGGTATCACAACGGCAAGCTTATGCGTCACTCCAACCGTATTAAGACCGTTTCCGATTTCGGTTATGTTGTCTTGGATATTTCCTATTTGCAAGATCATGACAGCGGTGAATATGTTTGCCGTGCTTACAACAAATATGGTGAAGACTTTACCAGAGCTACTCTTAACTGCCGTGGTCGTGGAGGTGTATTCTACGACAGCTTGCAACCCGATTCTCTGCAAAGAATTAGGGAATTGGAGTGCCCACAATTGCCAGGAGAGGCTGTTGCCCCTGTTGTCGCTGAACCACCCAAGTTCATTACCCACATCAAGGATGTCACCAAATTGGTTGAAGGACAAAGTGTTCACTTTGAAGCTCGTCTTACTCCTATCACCGATCCCGATCTTAAGGTTGAATGGTACTTCAATGGCAAGAAATTGCCCCATGGCCATCGTTTCCGTACTTTCCACGATTTCGGTATTGTTATTTTGGATATTTTGTACTGCTATGAAGAAAACTCCGGTGTTTACGAATGCCGTGCTGTTAACAAATATGGTGAAGATGTAACTCGTGCTACTCTCACCTGCTCTTCCAAGGCCAATTTGATTTTGGATTCCCAATTGCCACGCGGCATGGAAGGTGGCTTGGAAAAGATTGCCAACTTGGAATACAGCATGGTACGTACACGTGACGAAACTGTAGAAGAAACCAAAGGTAAGGCACCCGTGTTCACTGTACCTTTGGAGAACATTGACAATTTGCGCGAAGGTGAAAATTGCCACTTTGAAGCTCGTGTAACACCCACCGATGATCCTAGACTCAGAGTTGAATGGTACTGGAATGGTCGTCCTTTGAAGGCCGGTTCTCGTTTCCGCACATTCTGCGACTTTGGTTTCGTCATTTTGGAAATCTCACCCGTATATCCCGAAGACTCTGGTGAGTACTCTTGCCGTGCTATTAACGAGTACGGTGAAGCTGTAACCACTGCCACCATGAAGATTGCCGGTAAACGCAGCATCATCATGGAATCCCAATTGCCCAAGGGTATGGAAGGCACCATTGATCGTATTGCCGAATTGGAAGGTTTGGGTGTACGCAGCACTGAATTCGCTCCCGAAGATGATACCGGTAAACCACCAGAATTCATTACCACTCCCTTCGATATGGTCATCAATGAAAATCAATTGGCTCACTTTGAATGTCGCTTGCAGCCTATCAACGATCCCAGTATGCGTGTCGATTGGTTCCATAACGGCAAAGCCTTGTGGGCCGGTTCCCGCATTAAGACTATCAATGATTTTGGTTTCGTAATTTTGGAAATTGCCGGCTGTTATCAACGCGACTCTGGTTTGTACACTTGCAAGGCCACCAATAAACATGGTGAAGCTACTGTCTCGTGCAAACTTCAGGTTAAGGGTCGCCAAGGCATTGTCATGGAACCACAATTGCCTTCCAACTTCCGTACCGGTACCGAAAGCTTGCAGAAACTCGAAGAAAGCATGCACAGGAGAGAGGAAATCGTGGTCGATGAAGAACAACCCAACCCACCCAAGTTTATTGAAGAAATCAAGGATAACTTGGATGTTCAAGAAGGTGGTCCCATTCACTTTGACTGCCGCGTTGAACCGGTGGGTGATCCCACTATGCGCATTGAATGGTTCTATAATGGCCGTCCTTTGCCTACAGGTTCTCGTGTACATCAATTGAATGACTTTGGTTTCATTGCTTTGGATATTGATTATATATATGCTCGCGACTCCGGTGAATACACCTGCCGTGCCGTTAACAAATGGGGCGTTGCTACCACCACTGCCAAGGTCACCTGCAAGGGTAAGGGCAACATTGTCTATGATACTCAATTGCCTGATGGCATGACTGCCGAAAAATTGAGAGAATTAGATCGTGGTCGCATTCCTGAAGTAGTACAACAGGAAGAGGTCGAATATGGACCACCTAAGTTCATTACCGAAATTGCTTCAGTGACTGTTGAAGAAGCTGAAGCAGTACGTTTCGAGTGCCAAGTTGAACCCAAGAACGATCCCAATTTGCGCATTGAATGGTACCGCAATGGCAAGCTTTTGCCATCCGGTCACAGATATAGAAACATTGTGGATATGGGTTTCGTATCATTGGATATTTTGTATGTTTATGCTGAAGATTCCGGTGAATATGTATGCCGTGCTTATAACAAATACGGTGAAGATCGCACCAAGGCTACCATTTCCTGCAAGCAATTGCCTTCGATTATGTTGCAAAATCAAGTACCACGTGGCATGAAACGTTCCGAGACCCTGACTCAAATGGAAGCCACCATTAAGAAGTATACTTCAGAAGTGCACTTAACCGAGGATGATCTTTTCGATCCTGATCGCAAGCAACCACCTCGTTTTGTTACTCAAATCAAGGATCAAACCAATCTCACCGAAATGGCTGTTACCAAGTTTGAGTGTCAATTGGCACCAGTGGGTGATCCCAATATGAAGGTCGAATGGTTCTTCAATGGCAAACCATTGTTGTACAGTAAGTATTTTTTTGGGGTAAAGAGGATTTTTAAGTGACAAAAAAACTAATGGTTTCTTTTATTTAAACAGAGAACCGCTTCCAACCTATTTATGATTTCGGTTATGTAGCCATGAACTTTGGCTGGGTTTATCCCGAAGATAGCGGTGAATATGTCTGCCGTGCTACCAACTTGTATGGCAAGGATGAGACCAGAGCTTTCATTAAGGTTGCTGGTAAACCAGGCATTGTCTACGATTCTCAATTGCCCAAACATATGCATAGTATTGATCGTATTCGTGAAATGGAAGCCTCTTGGCAAGTGTAAGTATTTAGAAGGGAAATATTAATTTGGGAAATTTATTATATGATTGGGTTGGTTTTTAGTGTTCCCGAGGAAGTTGATCCCGATGCAAGACCTAGATCGAAACCCGTGTTTGTTAGCAAATTGGAACCACAAACCGTTGAAGAGGGCGAACCTGCACGATTCTGTGTACGCGTTACTGGTTATCCACGTCCAAGAGTTATGTGGCTCATCAATGGTCACACTGTGGTTCATGTAAGTTTAAGAAACGATAAAGTAGTAGTAAATATCAGAACTTAATGTATTTCTTTTCTGTAGGGTTCTCGTTATAAGCTTACTAACGATGGTATGTTCCACATGGATATACCCAAGACCAGACAATACGATACCGGCAAAGTGGAAGTTATTGCCCGTAACTCTGTGGGTGAAGCTATTGCTACCACTGAACTTAATGTTGTAGCCCGTTCCGATGATTATCGCGGTGTCCTTAAGAATTCACCACGTCGTAAGTATTTAAGACATTTTTGTTGTGTGAAATTCTTTTTACCAACAACAACAACAATTTTTTAAAATAACACCACTAGAAGCTTAAATCTAATTTCAATTACAAAACCAAGCCGATCTTTTTGCAAGATCTAAAATTTTTTATTTTTTTGATTAGTAGTATTAGCACAAACAAATAATTACAATAAGTATTAAAAATCAATTATTTAACAAAACACATTTCAACATTGTAAATATACATTTTTGCGAAAAAAAGAAACTCTAACACAGCAAAACATTACATATTCTGAGCACTTTAACAAAAAAACACCAACAAAAAGATAATCCAAATATTCCCCAAAATTTTCCTTATCAAAAAAGAAGAAACCCTTTCCAAATTCCCCTTAAAAGTCCTTTATAAAACTTCCAATTGTAAATATGAATTCCTGCCAAAAGCTGAGCTAAGCGCCAACTCCAAACTCCAAAAGAAGTTTCTCTAAAATGGATTTAAAAACGTCACGATTTCTCTAACAAAAAAAGTGATGGATTTCAAAAGTTTCACGGATATTAGATGGGTAGTATACTGAGTGTTTTACTAAAAGTTTTCTGTATGCTAATCAATGTATAATTTCACCTTGAGCACCCAAAAAAAATGGAAAATATCATTTCATTAACGTCATTTTTCGGAATGCTTTCTTAGCATCATTGTCATTCTTTATGTCTTTAAGATTTTAAATGTAATTTTTTATGGGTTTTTTGTATAGTTTTAGTTCTTTTTTAAGTTATTAGCATGAAAATGTTTTGTATATTTGGTATTTATCATTCACAATCATTGACTCTTAAAATATCATTCTAAATACAACCTTCAACTCCTCAAGTATGATGGCGAAAAGAACGTCATTCTGTTATCCTCTAAATGTAATAATAACTTCCTTAATTAAGAATCCCCACATTCCTTTAAATTCTGCATTAAAGTTCGCAAATCATGGTCATCATCACTGTAACTAATCTTAAGCTAGAACTGTGTAACTTAACCTATAAACAGTTAAAACTAACTGTAACTAATATTAACTGTTTTCGCAAATAAAGCAAAGTGTCCTTAGAAGACATTGCACCCTTAAAGGATTTTGAAATTTCCCTTACCTCTCAAAGCCTTAATATTAAAATGTTCCCAACTTATTTAACTTTAGCTTGGTATGACTACGAACTAGCTTCCTATCAAAAGGAACGTCAAGAAAACGAACTTGAAAAGGTGTTCGATGAACGTAAACAATACTTGGCCGAACAAAGTGGCACCCTTAAGGGTGTAGAACACTTGAAACCCAAACAAATCAAATCGGAAGCTCCTGAATGGCAACAATCCGTGCTGAAGAAGAAGAATGAAGATTACTACAGCAAGATTCAAGAATTGGAAACTGAGCAACTGTTGAAGGAGACCAATTTGCGTGCTGAATCTCATCAATATGCCATACCTGGAGAAAAGATTGTCAGCAGTTCGGCTGCCAAGGGCATGGCCAAATCCTATGAAGAGAATTTGTAAGTTTTTCTTAAAAAAACCCTAAAATCTTAACAGAAATATTAATATTTCTTCCTTACTAATTTTAGGGAAGAAACCTCTACCACCACCAGCACTACTAAGAAGGTTATGCAAAAGCCTCCAATTGAACCTTCAGAATCTTCGGTCCATGGTCGTGAAGTTCATATGAATAAGCAACAACAGACCCAAAAGGAAGTTGTGGGAGATTTGGAAATCACTCGCAAGATTACCGCCACCGAAACTACTGAAGTAGAACACAAGGGCACCATTCAAGAACGTGTTGTTAAGGGACCCGTTCAACCCGCCAAGCCACCAGTCTTTACCAAGAAGATTCAACCTTGCCGTGTCTTCGAAAATGAACAAGCCAAATTCGAGGTAGAATTCGATGGTGAACCTATGCCCACTGTCAAATGGTTCCGTGAGAGTTTCCCCATTCAAAGCTCTCCTGATTTGCAAATCCATACTTTCAGCGGCAAATCAATTTTGATTATTCGTCAAGTATTCGTAGAAGATTCTGCTGTATTCTCTTGCATTGCTGAGAATCGTGGAGGTACTGCCAAGTGCAGCGCCAACTTGGTGGTGGAAGAACGTCGTCGTGGTAAGGGTGGCATGACACCACCCAGCTTTGTTACCACCATTCAAAGCACCACTGTTACCACCGGCCAATTGGCTCGTTTCGATGCCAAGGTTACCGGTACCCGTCCCATGGATGTTTACTGGCTCAAGAATGGCATGAAGATTCAACCCAGCATTAAATTCAAGCTACTCGAAGAGGACAATGTTCACACTCTCTTGATTATCGAACCCACCGTCGAAGATAGTGGTCGTTATGAGTGTGTTGCTGTCAATGCTGCCGGTGAGGCCCGCTGTGATGGTGATTGTACCGTTCAATCAACCGCCAAGCCCGACAAACCCACCACTCCCGGTTCCGAAAAGGCTCCCCATATTTTGGAACAACTCAAGAGTCAATCCGTTGAAGAAGGCAGCAAAGTCATTTTCCGCTGCAAGGTAGAGGGTAAACCTACACCAACCGCACGCTGGATGCGTGGCGATAACATCGTTAAACCCTCACGTTACTTCCAAATGACTCGTCAAGGTGAATACTATCAGCTTGTCATTTCTGAGGCTTTCCCCGAAGATGAGGGCACCTATAAGTGTATTGCCGAAAATAAATTGGGCAGCATACAGACTAGTGCCCAGCTGAAGGTGCGTCCAATTGAGAATTTGGATGCTCCACCCACCATTACCGCCTTGAAGGATGTCTCCGTGAGCGAGGGTATGCCAGCTCAGTTTAAGACAACCGTTACCGGCAAAGTGAAACCAACTAGTGTTCAGTGGTTCCGTGAAGGTGCTCTCATACCGGAAACTCCAGATTTCCAAGTGAGTAGAATATAATTATGTTTTAATATTTAATAATGTTTAGTGAATAGTGTTTAAGTCCTTACCGGATTTTAAAATGCGAAAAAATATAGTACCTAAAGAGAATACTGTAAACATGACCGTAGGGCAAACTAATGGAATGTTGACCTGACTTTATACAAACAGACTGCAGACGGACTAAAGGCTAGAATATTGAGCAGTCCACAGACTAGCCAATTGACAACTTTAACTATAGACTAGCCTGTTCATAGACCAAACTATAGGCTTCTCTGTAGATCATAATATAGACCAGTCTGCAATCAAGCTCTTTAGTCCAGACTAACGTCCATTCTACAATTCAGATTATAGTCTACAATGTTCACACTATAGCCAATCAATAGTCATAATTATACACCAATCTAAAGTACTCGATTTAACTATACTGAAGACACTTAAGTCACTATAGACTAGACTACAGACTATAGTCTAGACTAGACTATAGACTAGACTAGACTAGACTATAGACTAGACTATAGACTAGACTATAGACTAGACTATAGACTAGACTATAGACTAGACTATAGACTAGACTATAGACTAGACTATAGACTAGACTATAGACTAGACTATAGACTAGACTATAGACTAGACTATAGACTAGACTATAGACTAGACTATAGACTAGACTATAGACTAGACTATAGACTAGACTATAGACTAGACTATAGACTAGACTATAGACTAGACTAGACTAGACTATAGACTAGACTATAGACTAGACTATAGACTAGACTTATAGACTAGACTATAGACTAGACTATAGACTAGACTATAGACTAGACTATAGACTAGACTATAGACTAGACTATAGACTAGACTATAGACTAGACTATAGACTAGACTATAGACTAGACTATAGACTAGACTATAGACTAGACTATAGACTAGACTATAGACTAGACTATAGACTAGACTATAGACTAGACTATAGACTAGACTATAGACTAGACTATAGACTAGACTATAGACTAGACTATAGACTAGACTATAGACTAGACTATAGACTAGACTATAGACTAGACTATAGACTAGACTATAGACTAGACTATAGACTAGACTATAGACTAGACTATAGACTAGACTATAGACTAGACTATAGACTAGACTATAGACTAGACTATAGACTAGACTATAGACTAGACTATAGACTAGACTATAGACTAGACTATAGACTAGACTATAGACTAGACTATAGACTAGACTATAGACTAGACTATAGACTAGACTATAGACTAGACTATAGACTAGACTATAGACTAGAACTATAGACTAGACTATAGACTAGACTATAGACTAGGACTATAGACTAGACTATAGACTAGACTATAGACTAGACTATAGACTAGACTATAGACTAGACTATAGACTAGACTATAGACTAGACTATAGACTAGACTATAGACTAGACTCAGCTAGACTATAGACTAGACTATAGACTAGACTATAGACTAGACTATAGACTAGACTATAGACTAGACTATAGACTAGACTATAGAATATAGACTAGACTATAGAATATAGACTAGACTATAGAATATAGACTAGACTATAAACTAGACTATAGACTGGACTATAGACTGGACTATAGACTAGACTATAGACTAGACTATATACTAGACTATAGACTAGACTATAGACTAGACTATAGACTAGACTATAGACTAGACTATAGACTAGACTATAGCCTAGACTATAGACTAGACTATAGACTAGACTATAGACTAGACTATAGACTAGACTATAGACTAGACTAGTCTATAGACTGGACTATAGACAAAGTATGGTCCAGACTAAAGACTAAACTATAGATCAGACTATAGACAATACTACAATGTATACTACAGATCACACTTATAGACTAGAGAATATATCAGACTATAGACCAGACTAAAGACCAGACAATAGCCTTACTATAGACAATACTATAGGGCAGACTATAGACTATATTGTAAACTAGCCTATAGACCAGGCTATGGACTAGACTATAGACCAGGCTATAGACTAAACTAACCCGACTAAACACCTGACTATAGACTAGACTATACACTAAACTGTAGACTAGATTA